TCCTACACCCCCACCCCCTTGCCCCTTCAGCTCCCCATGACTATGAGCTGGCAGCCAGGGCTTGTTCTTGTGTGGCATCCAAAGGAAGGGCCAGACAAGGGGCTCTGGTGGTTTGGGGGGCACATCTCTCTGGGTGGTTAGAATTCGGCACCTGGCCATCTTGCACTGGAGTAACCCTGGTTAAACTGTCCTCCGGAAGCTTGGTCCTTAGGTCTCCTGCAGGGTGGCATCTGATGGGGGGGGGAGGTTGCAGGCTTTTTCTTGGCTGTGGCTGTGGCCTGACAACATTTGGGGCAAAATCAACTCTAGTGTGGCCTCAGCCTGACCTTGGCTTGCCCTTGGCTTACCCTTTAGCTCTGGGCCCAGCCCCCAGATCAATGACATACTTGAACTAAGGAGGGGCTGCATCCCAGCTCCAGAGCATGGATGGTAGATGACGATGGGGAAGGGGGCTGACTGCTGAAGTGTTATCCCCACCCCAGGGGCCAGTGGAGAAATGGCTGTCCATTAAGTCAGCACCAGGGACGGTAAACCCTGAGGGGCCCTGGAAGAGAGCCTGGGTGCAAGGACGGCTCCAGCTGCCTACCCCCCACCCCCCAGCCAGCTGCGGCCCCCTGCGCTGCTGCCAGCTGCATGGGGACAAGAGAGCAGTGTGCAAGAAATGGGGGCTCCCAGGCATGGAGGGGCTGGAGGACTTCCTGCAGCTGTCAGGTGTGTCTGGGGGCTGCAGCCAGGGGGATGTCAAAGCAGCTGGCCCTTTGAGGAGGAGCAGAGAGAGCGCTTGTCAGCTCTAGGAACCTGGGGGCCCACGGGGGGCTTTGGGTGTCTCTAGTCTCCCCCTAAGCTGGGAGTGTTGATTGTGTGTGGGGTGACAGAGAGACAGAGATCCTACAGCTCAGGGATGGGGGCTTCCTAGCAGGGAATTGGGGCAGGCTTGTTTTCAGGGGGCTTTGGATCTTTCCCAGCTGGCCTGGAGAGGCCATGCACCGGGTGTTGTGGGTAGCAGACAAGGCAACCCCAGGGGAGGTGGAGATCTAACCCCCCCTTTCTTGGCTGGACTGGCCCGCTCTGGCGGGCTGCCGGCCCCTATTTCCGTCGGGCACCAGGGTAACAGGGCCACATTAGGGTCTGAGCCAGGAGAGCCCAGCCAAGGCTGGGGTGGGTGGGGGAGGATCTCCAAAGGGTCTGCATGCAGGCTTCAGGGCCCACTTTCTGGGTCCCAAGCCCCTGGCTCAGGCTATGTTCTAACCTCAACAGTCCTAAATGAGTCTGCGGGGGTGGGGGTGGGGTGTCTGCAGCTCCCCTTTTGTGTATTGCTGCTCGATTCACATAGCACCCGCTCCCAAATCCCAGGAGTTGTCTACAGGGCTGGGGGCTGGGGTGGGAGCCAGAGACAGGGGGCCTTGTGTGTGGGGAGGCAGGGGGGCCGGCGCGGGTGGCCGGGAGGAAGAGCTTCCCTCTCCTCACCCCCCCCTCACCCCCCCATTCCTGCCGCCCTCTTGGCAGTGATTCAGAAAGGTCCTTTTTCAGCCGGTGTCAGAGCTGCGCTACTGGGTGGGAGGGCAGGGAGGGCGGACAGGCGGGTGGGGGAGCCCGGGAGCAGGGCTGGAGCTGTGGCCACTGCACTGGAGCGGAGCCTAAGGAGCGGGACAGAGTCGGGCTGCAGCCAGGAGGAGAGCTAACCTGCCTCTCTGAGACTCTCTGCCTCCAGCTGGGCTTCCCACAGCAACAAGAGGCCGCCCATTCTTCTGCCCCATTGCCCACCCCCTACAGGGCCCTTGGGGCCGATTCCTCTGAGCAAACCTGCACTGAGGCCTCTGCTTCCCCACTGCCAGGCCAGGCGGCCTCTGGGTCTGAGCCTCAGTGGCCCCGGGCTCCAGCTCCGTGGAGATGCCCGCAGCCCGTCGGTTCCCTGGCCTTGAGCTCTCCTTCCCTCTCCTGGCCAGACTGCGCCGACGCCTGTACACAGTGAGTGGGCGGCTGGGGACTGGGGGTGGTTGAGGGGACAGTCCAGTGAGGCCTGGGCCCAGCGGCCTCTCCCTCCAGCAGCTGTGTGCTTGTTGGAGAGTGTGACGGAAGTGTGCGCAGGGGCAGGTCAAGTGTGTGTGTGCACACGCCGGCCACGAGAGGGGCATGCTCCAGGCATACAGGGTGCACCCTCGCTCTGTCCTGGTCCAGCGTGGGCAGAGTTGTAGACTCAGAACGGAGGGAACTTGGGGTGGGGCTGGTGGGGTGGGTGGGGAATGACTTGTCAGAGTCGCCCTGGGCTCTGTGGTAGAGACAAGACTCGGACCCAGGGCCTCGGCTTCCTTTTTCCTTCTGGAACCCCATCTTCCCAGTCTTCCCACACCCCACCCTCTGTGCAGAGCAGCCCTGCGCCTAGGGCAGGAGAGGGCAGTTCCCAGCTGAGCAGGGGAGAACAAACCAGACTGTGCTCCCTAAATAGTTTCAGGGAGGGACCCTTGGGGCATCTCCTGCCCTAACCAACCAGGCCTGGGGAGCGGCTGCCTCCTGCCCCAGAGGAGAGGAGCGCTGGCGGGCCTGGCCCCCTGGGCTGGGGCAGCAGGCTGCTCTCCCTGGTGGGTTAGGAGCCCACGCCTCGGGTGACTTTGCTGTAGGGATAGGCAGTGCTGGGCCAGGCCAGACCATGAACAGAGTCAGCCTGGCGGGTGGTTTTCATCATGCACCTGTGGGGCTTGCTTCTGGAAAGCAATGGCAGCCACCCACTTCACCCCCAAGCTCTCTTTTGTAACATGGTTCTGTGGACAATACATGAGACAGTGCAGTTAAATGCTTAGAGCTGTGTCGGACGTACGTCCTGAGCGAAGCTGAAGTATTAGACTTCGCTGTTGCTGTTCCTCATTTTAAATCGACAGAAATGCGACCTATCAGGTAACCCTGTGTGTGTGTGTGTGTTGTGTGTGTGTGTGTGTGTGTGTGTGTGTGTGACCAGCTCTAATACGAAGGTGGGTGACACAATGGAAGATCACGGGTGACCTGCCACGTGATCTGTCACTGCTGGGACATGGCCACACCAGATGACACGATGAAGCTACCTTAGTCAGGTGCTAAGACCTCAGGTAGACCCCACTCCCACCCCAAAGGTGATGGATGGCCACACATGCCAACTGGAGGGGAGCTCTGAAACAAGAGGGGGGTGCTGACTTTATGTGACATTTTTCCCCTCCACATGGCGAACAACTTTTGTCCAGCTGTGAACAAAAAGCAAGGTTTGGTGTGTGTCCGGTTCCCATCCCCCACAGTCTCATTCACATGGCAGTTGGATTCCAGGACAGTGCTTTCCTGATCCTGTGGAAATGGAGTCAGGTTCGAGGTCGGGTGGCCTCAGAGCAGTCTGTGGAAGCCAGAGCCTGCCTGAGGACAGCACAAGTGTTTCCCGCTCACAGAGACTGAGTGAAAGGTGGTACGACCGGACCTGTCGAGCTGGAAAGCTTGGGAGACCTGGAAAAGCAGGGCAGCCCTGTGGCATTCCGGCTGTCACGGTGTCACTTCATGAAGGGATCAGCTTGTGTGGCTGTCTTGCAACTACAGGTCTCAGTTCCCGTCCGTTTCTGAATGCCACTCCTAGTTGCTACCATGTGGACTGCCACTCCTTGCAGCCCCATGTGCTTGTGGGGCTGGAACGGTGCACTGTAGGGTCCCAATGGCCAACTGTCCGAAGTGGATCTGCAGCCCTTTCTCCCAAGGCAGCTGCAGATGGGCTTGAGCCTCAGCCTTCCCGATAGCAGCCGCTGAGTACCTTCACAGTGGCACTTTCCAGGGACTCCTATGCTGGCAGCCCCCAAACATCGTGACAGCTGGTATGCCCCTATCAGGCTGCACAACCCTCTTAAAGGGTGCAGCATAAGGTCGGAAGACCAGCCATCTGGTCTGGGCCCTTAGTGGTAGAGCCCTGGCTTGAACGGAGACTTTCTAATCTCCATTGGTCACTCCGTGTTCTGCCCCGGGCTGCCTGAGACAGCCTGAACTCCTGGCACCATTGGCAGGACGTCTGAGAACTGTGGGGGCAGAGGACTCACACTGGGCCTGGGCTGTGAGCGCCTGCCCCGCTCAGTGCGGGGCGTAAGGAGAGTCAGGCAGGAGACCACCTCTGAGTGGTGGAGAAGGGGCGCTGCCTGGTCTTTGTCTTCTTGTCATTTGCTCAGGGGTCAGGGGCTGGCCTTGGGAAGCCCTCAGCACTGAGAAGTCTTCCTCGGCCTCTAGTGACCTGGGCTGCTTAGTGATGAGGGTCCCACTGACCTATTTCTCTGAGAAACAGAGCGTGTTGGACAGAAGTCACTCACTAGTGGCCCATTGGCTGACAGTGGCCTTTGATGTTTGGTTTGGCCAGCACAGTGTGTGCGTGAGAGAGAGAGAGAGAGAGAGGAAATTTGACTGTTACGTGACTACCAGGACCGAATCAGTAATGTGTGAAGGTTTGGAGTGGAAACCAAGTCTGCAAGGCCAAGTACAGACTGATGGCAGCTGGCTTGCGGAGGGGTTGCTCGGTGACTGTGCAGGAGGAGAGGCTACCCTTTGGATTTGTTGTCCTCCACATCGACTCCTCTCGATGTCTGGTTTGCAATTACGCAAGCATTGCACTGCCTTTAGGTGGGTGGTTCAGGGGCCACCCTCGCTGGCTGTATGTGCTTGCACGGCTAGGTGAGTGAGTGGCTGTGGGGGGGAGGCCCTCTTGAGAGCGGTTGGAGCCCAAGTAGAACTCATCTGGCACAGAACTCTGGTCCTGGAGGCTCTAAGGGTGACATCTGACTCCTGACCCCCGGGTCAGAGCTCCAGCCCATCAGCCCAAAGTCAGGCCTGTCACAGTGGTGTGGGGGTGCCAGGTTCCTGTGTGGCAGTTTTGGGAAATAGCAAAAGGCAGCTTGGGCCCTTGTAGACAACAGCACCTTGGGATGTGGGTGAGCCCAGGGCATCTGGGGCAGGGCCCCTATTAGCTCTGTGTATCCTGCGGGCACTGAGCCTCCTCCATCGCCCCACAGAGGCTGGGGAGCAGCAGCATGCAGCCGGAGGAGGGCACTGGCTGGCTGCTGGAGCTGCTGTCTGAGGTGCAGCTGCAGCAGTACTTCCTGCGGCTGCGTGACGACCTCAACGTGACCCGCTTGTCCCACTTCGAGTACGTCAAGAATGAAGATCTGGAGAAGATCGGCATGGGCCGGCCCGGTAGGTGGGATGTCAGCCTTGCTTGTCCCCTCCCCACTGACCCTCTACTGTCTCTGCCTGCAGGACTGTGGGCTTCCCATGGGGCGGGCCCCTGAGCAGGGTGGGAGGGCGTTGGTATGCACGGAGAGCAGCCTATACCCCTGAAGGGGACTGGAGCAGCACAGGCTGGCTCGCTGAAAGCTGGGGCACGCCTGCACCTTCCATGCCACTTAGGCATCCTGCAGACATTTGTGGGGTGTATTGCCGCCCTTTCCCCCTCCTGATGGGCGTAGGGTTCAGCCCATTCTGTTCACCATTCTGAGCACCAGGCGTCAACATCCAAGATCTGTGTGAATCTTGCCCACCAGCCTTCCCCAGTGGCTTGTTAGTTTTCTTATTGCCTTTATCTGCTCAGCCCTGTAGGGTCGTTCGTTACAAGAGTTGAATCAAAGGCAGAGGGTCTGGCTTCGTCTCTGCCTGTCCCTCTGTCTCCTCCTCTCCCAGGCTTTCACGTGCACTTAGTTCTCCAGCGCACGCTGAGCTTGTTTCTTACATGTGCATTCACCTCGAGAGTAGTGCTCGCAGTATCTGCACATCAGCGCTCCCTATAGAACCGGAGAGACCGATGGTTTGCTCAGCATAAGACAGCCCACTAGGCAGTCTTGTGCCCAATTAGTCACTGACCGGTGTTATTTTCTGGCCAGGATAGTGGTGCCTGGTGTTAACAGCTTAAGCAAATTGTATAGGAGAAAACAAAAAATCGCCGGAAAATTCTTACTTGCGACCTTGATTTTACCCAAGAGTTGGGAGCAGACCATGCCTGTTCAGCTTTGGTGGGTAGGCCAGGCCCCTCCATCCAGCAAGGGGACTACAGCCTCAGAGTGGGATGCCCTGGACTTCTGGTTATGGAGGCCCCTGGCTGATCAGGATTGTTGTCATTGCTGCCACTGTCTGGGGCAGTGCCAGGTGTTGGGCCCAGCTCTGTTGGGTGGGCAGTAACAGCTCTGGGGAGCGAGGCCATGCTGATCACGCTGGGCTTCCCCTGACCTTGCAGGCCAGCGGCGGCTGTGGGAGGCGGTGAAGAGGAGGAAGGCCATGTGCAAGCGCAAGTCCTGGATGAGCAAGGTGGGTGGACGCCAGTGGGATGGCAGGCGCAGAGCAAGGCGTCCCCCACCCCGCACCCCCTCCGCGTCCGTCCTAGGAAACCTCCGCCGCCACTGGGCAGGCCTAATCTCGCCACGCTCCCCTCCCACTCTGTCCAGGCCTCCCTCCTCCGGGTCTTATCAGGCTGGGCACTTGCAGAGCTGCCTGGCTGAGTGTCACCTCTGCCCAAGACGGACACTGAGCTGCTGTTTGCAGAGCACACAGCTCGGCCTCTGGCCTTCTGGGGGTCCACAGCAGGCCTGGCTGACCAGCCAGCCTTCACTTGAGCCCTAGCTCTGCTTGAAGAGTGGACCCTCCTCCCCCGCCCTCTCCAATGGTCATCTGGCTCAGCCGACAGCTTCCTCCCCACAGCCTACCTCCTAAATTAGCTTTCTGGTGCGGTGAGTTCCTGGCCTGACTCAGTGGAACTGTGCCCATTGTCTGGGAGACAATGAGAGAGGAAGTGCGCCAGCCAGCCAGGGAAGGCAGGGCCTTCCCTTCCCCACTTCTGGCAGGGGGTGGGGGCTGGGGGGCAGAACAGCTGGGCAGGGATTGGGCAGCTCAGTCTGCCTGGTGGCAGTCCAGGCGAAGGGACTGTCTCCTGAGAGCCTGTGGCCTCTTCTGGGGACACTGTCCTGGTCCTTTGCCCGGGTTTTAGGAAAGGGTGCGCGTGCTTGGCGGGTGAAGGCGGGGAGAGGAGCCCCTTGTGTGCTGTGCAGGGCATCAGGGCCGTCTGCCCAGGCTGTCAGTGAGCCTCTGCAGGCTCCCGCCATCCCCTCACAGCCTGGGGACAGTCCCTCCCTGCGGGGATGGCTCTGAAGCGCCCTGTGAGCTGGACTGTGCCAACATGTGTAAAGGATTCCAATTTGGGGGGTGGGAGGGTGGGGACACACTGAGAGCCAAGGCCAGAAGATGCCCTCTGGTTGCACGGCCCCCAACCCATGCAGAGAAGGCCCTGCCAGCCTTGGGGGTGCCTGGCTGGGGGTAAACTGGGCAGAGTCCGAAGCCTGAAGTGCAAGCTCTGGGTGCCCCAGGGAAGTGGCCATGTCAGACCGAAGGGCCTGCTCTGACCAGCTAGGCCGCTCTCCTACTCCTTGACCTCTGTCCCCATCCTCTGCAGCCCAGGCCTCAGAGTGCTCCCCCCACCCCCCGGCTGTAGGCGCCCCTCCAAAAGCCCAGCTGTCTTCCCAGGCCCTTCCCCAGCAAGGACTAAGCTGCGTGTGTGACACACACTCTCTCTCTAACCTCAGACTAAAATTATCCCTCCCGAGTAGGATAAAGGAGAGCCGACTCCCTAGGAAGGGTGGAGACAGACAGCACCAAATGGTCACCCCAGAGAAGGGGCCAGGGCTAAAACTGGACAGGGTGGTGTTTGTAGAGGCCCATCGGACTCTGCCCCATCTACGAGGACTGGGGCTGGCGTCTGCTGAGCGAGGAGGGGGCAGGGGGGCCAGGGCAGAGGGCTGGTGGAGACACTCACGTCACCTGCCCGTATGGGGCGGTGTGCAGACTGGTGGCCTGTCCCTGACCCGGTGGTGGCTGCAGGCGAGGGTTGTGGGTTCTGGTTTGGGGTGTGGCCTACAGGGAGTGAAGGTCCCCAAGCTGGCTGCCCTCTGCCCCTCGCAAAGCTAGGGTTCATCTGAGGATGGCAGGTGGGCCAAGCAGGACAGGCTGGGCTGTGACTGGCTGTGGGGCCTCAGGCTCCCCTCTGGCCCCGGGCTGCCTTCACACAGGTGTTCAGTGGGAAGCGGCTGGAGGCTGAGTTCCCTCCTCATCACTCTCAGAGCACCTTCCGAAAAGCCTCGCCCACCCCAGGGGACCCTGCAGGGGAGGGGCGCTTGCTGAGCCTCACCTGCCTCATCGGGGAGAAAGACCTGCACCTGTTCGAGAAGCTGGGGGACGGCTCCTTTGGCGTGGTGCGCAGGGGCGAGTGGGATGCCCCCTCAGGGAAGACGGTGAGTGCTGGCCTGGGGCCTGAGGGGTGGGGCATGCGCTGGTGGTCAGTGCTAGTGCAGTGCTGTGACATGTGCCCCCGAGGGGCCTCGAACAAGCAAGCTGCTGGCCAGGGCAGGTGCAATCTGTGTCTGCTCTCCAGCAAGGTCCTGGCCTTTGAGCTTCTGCTCCGGGGTGGTCTTCATGTGGCCTGTCCTGGCTCTTCCCATCTCGGCTCTGCTTGCTTAAGAATCTCTCTTATTTCTCAAAAGACACCCTGCCCTGATCTTGACCCCCTCCCCAAGTACGACTCTGACCAGCACTCTGACCACAGGCGGCTGGCTGAGAGCTTCAGGTTCAAAACACAGGCTCAGCCCTTCACAGACTCCCGGCAGAGACTGGCAGGGCCCTTTCCCTGCCGGGGTGGGATTGGAACAGGGCGGGTCCCCTTTGCTCTGGAGTCTGCGCTCCGCACATTTCTTTTTTCCTCTTTCGGCCCTGGAAAGAATAGTGCTTGTTCACGTTTGGAAATTTAAAAACAAGAAAGAATTCAAATTGCCTGTCACCCCCGACCCCTCCTCAAGTATTTTATTGAGTTTGCAGCCTCAGATACATTACCCTCAAGAGTGGTACACAGTAAAGCACATCGTGATTAAGTGCACAGCGTAGAGGGTCATGACGCCCCCTTGGCCCCCCCAGGGCCCCTTCACAGATGGAGATAGGGAACGACACCACCCCCCAGAAGTTCTGGGGTTTGGTTTTTCCCTTGGTACTAGATTTCAACCCTTTTCCTTTGACACTAAAAACATTCTTTTAAAACACTCCATTTTATTATACTACGTTGACACTTCACCTTGAGAAGCCCTCAGCAAGGGAGATGCAGGCAGTGCCCCTGGGTGGATGGACAGCCGGTTAACCTCCTGGGCACTGAGCCTCCCCCATGACAGGCCTGGAATCTGGACCTTTGAACTGAGCTGGGGAGGGCTAGGCTGGCCACAGTGGTAGGAGGGTAGTTAGATGGGTCCTGACTCCCCTGCAGGTGAGCGTGGCCGTGAAGTGCCTGAAGCCAGATGTCCTGAGCCAGCCGGAGGCCATGGACGACTTCATCCGGGAGGTCAATGCCATGCACTCGCTTGACCACCGCAACCTCATTCGCCTCTACGGGGTGGTACTCACGCCGCCCATGAAGATGGTGAGTGCTGCTGGGAGGGGTGGGGGCGAGCCCCGCCCCCTGTGCCTCACTCGGCCCCCAGACCCTTATTTGATCCCCCATCCGATATGACCAGAGAGTGAGCCAGCTCAGCCCAGCACCACGTGTCCACTGGCACATGTGCCCAGCTCGGGGTCTTGGCAGCAAACGGCGCCCCTGGGAGGGGCTGGCCCTTGAGGTTTGGCTTTGGGATAGCTAGCCTGAGCCTTTCGGGCTGCTGCGCTCCACACCCCAGTTTCCCACAGAAAGGATCTGCCTGGAGGAGGAAGCCCAGCCAGGGGGCATGTGGGGCCTGGGCACACTGTGGAGGGGGCTGATCTGATGTGCCCCTGCGGCTCCCACTGTGGCTTCAGGTGACAGAGCTGGCACCGCTGGGTTCGCTGCTGGACCGACTGCGCAAGCACCAGGGCCACTTCCTCCTGGGGACTCTGAGCCGCTACGCCGTGCAGGTGGCTGAGGGCATGGGCTACCTAGAGTCCAAGCGCTTCATTCACCGAGACCTGGCTGCCCGCAACCTGCTGCTGGCCACCCGGGACCTGGTCAAGATCGGGGACTTTGGGCTGATGCGCGCCCTGCCCCAGAATGACGACCACTACGTCATGCAGGAGCACCGCAAGGTGCCCTTCGCCTGGTGAGGGCAGGTGCTGCTGGCGCACAGGGCCTGGGTCTACCCAACCCCCACCCAGCTCTGGGCCTCAGAGCTCCCTGGACTTCTGCCCTGCACAGCCTTGCCCCTGCTTTTGCCTCCAGGAAGCCTCCAGGGTCCCTGTCTGGGTCTCAGGGATAGGAGCTGTGGGCCCTTGTAAAGGGCTGTGGACTCAGATGGACAGTATTCAAAGGCTTCTCGGGGCTCAGTCTTTAGGACCAAATCTGAAACATGTGGGGAAGTTAGCCCAACCAAGTCCAGGGAGAGCCAGCAGCAGGCAGGGCCTTGTAGACAGTGGTTCGGGGTGCCCCCGCCTCTTGTGCTGCCTGACCCTGCCCTGAGACCATCATGGCCCCTGGTCCCCATGGCACCCATAGGGGTGTGGTCTCCCTGCTTTTGGGGGTTGGGGACTGGTTCAATTCTGTTTGCCAGCACAGTAGTTTGGGGGCACCCTCATCACTGGGGTATAGAGTCTTCCATATAACGGACTTTATATGGAAGGGGCTCTGGATTATGCCTGCTTACCTGGAGTAATTAATAGCACCCCTTCTGCGCTCAGCTTCCTGGTTTTGGGTGGTAAGTTAACAAGTTCCCTTGACAATTTTATTTGATTTGATTTCTGTTGCTGTTGAGAATATCCACAGCAAAAACCTAAGCCAATTTGAGTTTCCACATGTGCACTTCAGTGGCAGGGAGTGTGCTTCTCAAGCTGGTGCGGCCCTTCCCCTCCTGTTCTGGGTGGTTTGTTCTCTAGGAACAGGGGCTCCACCCCTGACGCTCCTCTCTAATCTTTGGAGTTGCCCGCTGTGGTCTGTCCGAACCCAAGAAGATGGTTCTTAAAGGAGCCTAGTGCTCCAGGCAGACATCCCTTACTAGCTCATGCGAAATTACTGTTGGATTTTAAGGCCACTCAGGGGCTCTTCTGGAGGAAGGATTAAAAGTTATCTCAGGGTAGTCGCCCGGAGCTGTGGCGTCCGTGATAATGTGGCGTGGTGTCCTGCATTTCCCCCTACTGTTCAGGACTGTACTGTAGAACACTTGCTGTTGGGCCACCTTTCTGCTGCAGCCCCTCGTCTGCCCTGGGAGGGTGGTGTTCACATCACTTCAGGAAGTGATCCTTCATGGTTCTCCGGGGCCCCTGGTCTCTGAGTGGCAGGGCCAGCTCGGGTCACCGAGAGATCTTTGTTTCTGCATCCAGGGCACCTCCGCCCACCGGAAGACTCCTTTCCTAGTCCCACCCCTCACCCAGGAAAGCACCCCAGAGGGAGTGTGGTGGTACTGGGTAAAGCCTGTGGGGTAGTTTCTACACATTGGGGTTCCTGCCCAAGCCCTATCCAATTTTCCCACCCACTCCTTGCCCCAGGGTCCTCCCACCACCCCACCCTTAACCCAATCAGAAGCCTCTTAACCTTGCCCTGCCCCACCAGACCCGGCGCCACACCGTCCCCCTCCCAGCCCAGGTTGTATTTGAACAGAAGGCCCAACCCGGGGTGACCTTCCATATCTATGTGCCTGTGTGATCCAGGGACCGCCCCTGCCCACTGCTCCCACCCTCTGGGGCCCGCAACCAAGCCTGGCACACAGAGGGAGGGGCAATGGTGACTGAATGGGTTGATGCAGGTGGTCTAACAGGCCTTCTGTTTGTGTGTCCATCCCCACACACCTCCCACCTCTCTTCACTGCCAGGTGTGCACCTGAGAGCCTGAAGACACGCACCTTCTCCCATGCCAGCGACACCTGGATGTTTGGGGTGACGCTGTGGGAGATGTTCACCTATGGCCAGGAGCCCTGGATCGGCCTCAATGGCAGTCAGGTGAGGGCAGGGAGCAGGGTAGTTCCCAGCCTGGCATTTTGTGGTTGTTGACTCTTAACTGGTCCCCAGTCCCCTCCCATCCCCATACCCCGAGTTGGACAGCTGACAGAGGGGATTGCCGCAGTTTCCCCAGGGAGACAGCCAGAAGCTGCCAGAGGGAAGGTGGGCAGTGAAGAGCCAGGTGACTCTGCAGCACCCCCCAACCCTCCCACCCCCACCCCAGATCCTGCATAAGATCGATAAGGAGGGTGAGCGCCTGCCCCGGCCTGAGGACTGTCCGCAGGACATCTACAACGTCATGGCCCAGTGCTGGGCTCACAAGCCAGAGGACCGGCCCACCTTCGTAGCCCTTCGGGACTTCCTCCTGGAGGTGAGGGCAGGGCTGCCCCCCAGGAGCTGGGTGTCCAGGAGAGGGGAGGGATCGCCGTCTTCATGGGGGACCCCAGGCTCAGGCCAGATGGCCGGTGACCTGTCTTGCCCCCAGGCCCAGCCCACAGACATGCGGGCCCTTCAGGACTTCGAGGAGGTGGACAAGCTGCACATCCAGATGAATGACGTCATCACCGTCATCGAGGGAAGGTAGGGGTGGCGCTGGACGGGAGGGAGAGAGGCTAGCCCCGGGTCTGCTGCCAGCCTGCACATGACCTCGTCTGGCCCCGCCTCATCGCCCTGGTCCCCCTGGGCCCAGCCCTGGCTGTGTGGGCCAGGGCCAGACCGCCATCATGGCTGGGGCTAGCCCGACCTTGAGGCCGGCAGAGAAGCGAGGAGGAGGGGGTGTGGCGGGATGGCTGGGGAGCTCCCGAACATTCCTCCCCTGACCCTCCCCCCACCCTCTCACCTGGCTCCGGACTATTGACTCTGGGAGGGCCTGCGCGGCCCCACCCTCTTCCTGCAGGTGGTGGTGGGGCCTCTCTTACCCGGAGCCTTCTCTGCTGCTCTGGCCCCTGGACGCGCTCCGGGGTGCCCCCTCCCCAACCTCCCCTCACCTGCCCTCCCGCCCACACACGGCGCGCACGTGTCCGCCTGCGGCAGCATCTCCCTGAGTCACTGCACCTCTACCTGCCGCGCCCCGCCGGCCCGCCCCTGT